CAACCCCTCAAGGGCTGTAACCTTCAGTCTACGCATTGCCGGGAAATCTTTTTGTGGACAAGCACGTCACTGGCCGTTTCACGAGGTTTCCATCAATTTTAAGGGAAAACCAATTCAAGTTTTTTTTTTTTTTTTTTTTTTTTTTGTGACATGCCATTATTTTAAAGGGTACCCTGAAGAGGAAGCTGACACTAGGGGACCAAGTGACTTTTCGCTCTAGTATCCACCAAAAGGACACCGGGATCGTTGTGTAATGTTCCGAAATGGCTATTTGCTGATGTAGTTTTTTTCCTTTCTCGTTTGTTTGCTTACTGCCTTTTGAGGCTTTCCTTATTCTAGCTTAGCTGTCTACCTCCAGCAAGCATGACCCAACCAATTGTCCATTGTCAAGAGACAACACTCCCATATGTTTTAGTAAAGGGTGTGCCTGCTTTCCGCGAAAATCAATGCATATGAACATAAACTGACGTCTGTTCCTCTCCTTAGGAATGTGAAGTGTTTGTTCTGAGTACAAGTTATCTAAAGTGAAAAGAAAATTGTTTCATGGTTCCATTAGGAGCGGCATGACAAAAACCTTTAATGACCTCAGTTATGGTTGGCGGTTTCTGCATGTTGAAATTTCTCTCAGGTTTTCCCGTTGCTTTTGAGCTACATGCTTCGGTCAAGTGAACCTGCTTTTATGTTTCAAACTAATATCGGGAGCACACCATAACAACGTCCCTCCACCTCTCCCCACCAATGTGAGGATTTAGGCATTTTCAGGGTATGTGATCCATTTAAAGTGGAAGTAAAAGCAGAGTAAATTGCATTTTCGCACAAAACTTGCACATTTGCATTGCACATTGCACATTGCACACTCTGTACTTTGCTCATTTGCACAAATCACACAAAAACCAGAATTTAATACTTCACACTGGAGATATTTTTTAGTGGTTCTCCTGACTGAAATTATAGGCGAGCGGAAGAGGTTCTTGGAAAAAAAAAAGCAAGTTAAAGGTGAATTCGAAAGTATTTTATCCCATAAATCTGAATATCACATTCATATGCTCCGAAGATGTAACTTAACTCGAGAAAACGCGAAAAGTCATAAAAGAATTATTTTCTGCAGCTTCCGTGTACCAAATTGAAAAACTTTATATTCATGATCAACCGCTTCAGCTTACCTTTAAGCATTCTCTGTCACAAATTAATCATCTGTAGACTTGTAGCACAGCTTCATACATCAATATAAATTAATTAGTTCTCAACCTAACAAAAAATGAGACTTGTGAACCAGATTTCTCCTTTTAATGGAGAAATCAGGTTTGACCCAGTATTCATTAAATATGTCTGCATTGCCAATACCACATAAGAGATAGAACCCTATGTAGTGATATCACAAGTTTAATGAAGTACTATGTGCCATTACCGATTCTGGCTGCACTTTCGGTGTACTAGGGGGACAAATTAATGCACAGATGCTCATTTGCGATTTTAAAAATGATTCACACATTTATATGAATATTCTGCAGTCACTTGAACAAGAAGCTAGAAGGTAGTTTGCAAATGCTTGTCGTTTACGCAAGATGCTTGATTTTGGAAGGTGTTGGTCATAACGTAAAAAAAATTTGGCACCCTCGTAATGGAAAAAAGAAAAAAGTAGGTGGCAGTTAATGTTGTGCAAATGTTGCCTGAAGGTTCAGAATATTGAATGAATGTTAAAAATGTATTCAAAACGTCTTAGAAACATTCACGCTCAAAGATTTGCTAAGGATAATTGCTGAACATCCTACGGAAAACAATAAAAAGTTCTGGAAATACTTAATCATACCTGGAAATTTTCTAAAAATATTCTCAGAGTGCTACGAACGTTACTTCCTTGTTCTCTGAATGCCCTAGAAAGGGTTTTTGGAGTACTTTACCCACATGTTACACTCACCGAGTTCCCATGCCACATTCTGAGGACATTCCAAGAATGTTACAAGGCATTTGCATGCACTTAAGGAATGTTGCAGATGTCCATTTGAATGTTCTCAGAATATCTTTAGGACATCATTGAACTACCTGGATGAGTGACTGCACCCAATTAACTGTGATTTCATTTGCTCAAGAGGCAACCAATTTGTTCCTACAATTTCTTGGCATAACTCGGAACCTAACCTTCCCATGCATCAAAATACTCAATACAAGTTTTTAAGTTGAGTTACCAAATACCGGCTTCATAAATAATTAAAATACTACTCAAGTTACATTCACTGTAAAGTATCTTGAGTTGAGTACAAATACTTAGAAATGTAATTCAATCACTTTTAAAGATAATTCTGCATTGCATAATTTGTATCGATGTCAGTGACAAACACAATCATACTGTTGCGCTAATCTGGTTTACCAGAATGGTTTATGAGAATGCAACAGCACAAAATGGCAAAAAAAAAAAAAAGAAACATTGTAGTGTTATTTTATACCATCTAACTATAAGAAGCAGAATATCAGTGACACAATGTTACAAAACATATCTGAAAAAAAAAAAAAAAAAGAAAGAGGTTGCTTTTGTTATAGTGACATCGCTGAATATCATGTCCTGCACCACAACTCAGACACATCGTTTAAAAAAACACTGACACCCGCAAAATTTTTTTATTTTTTGCCAGGCAATTATTATAGTGTCAGAAGACAATATTATGCTACAGCATCACATATATTTTTAATAAATTCAAAACATGCAAATGCTCGAAACCGAAACTGGACTAGGGAGGGAGAAGAAATATAGAGGAGAAAGTTACTAAAAAGCACGCAGATGTGCAACTTTTTTTTTTCAATAAACATATTTGCAGTCTTCTAGAAGCTACAAAAAATTGGTATCAAATTTTTCATCAATTTTTAGTATTGAGTGTGTGCCTTCGATGACCCATGACTGATTATCTTTGGTAATTGTGTCTAAATCATAGAAAACGGCGTGTGACCATGGAGAAGAGAGTAAGCATGACACAAACCAGCCAGTCCTCGATCGGCAGTTTTTAGCTGAAAAGAAAATTAATTTCGAGCCGCAAATAGTGCTCTGGGTAGTAGGGCTCTCATCTGTCATATACAAATAAAAACCTTGGCCACCTTAAATACTCTGTCAGTGTCCCTTTAACTATAATCCATATGCCCTAAATGAGGAGTTCACTATAAACAAACTTGGGATACGGAAATGAGTTAATGGATAACAAAGGGAGCCCACATAATAGCCACAGCAGTAGTCACACCTTCTTCAAGTAGGTTGCGTTGAGAAAGGCACTCAACGTTGGGGGACGCTTTGTTGGCATTTTGACATGTCATACTGCTCCTAGTTCGTTCCCTGTCCTGTTCTCTGCTTATCAGTGTTCGCTTAATGACAGTGTTCGTAAGAGCAATAAAGGCCGGACTGACGACACAAAGGAAAGAAACAAAAATGAACCTCGACGTTTTGCTGTAACGGGGTCAAATGTACAACAAGCAAAAAAAGTGACATCTTTTTGTGTCCACTTCTCATTGTCTTCTATTTGTCATTTTCTTGACACTGAAGTCTGCACTATTGTCGTAGATCGTTTTCCGTTTTGCGGTGCGCCTCAGTGTGGTAATCTTTACTTTCATAAAACCACCCCTTTTGTTTAAGAATTTTTTTTTGGGGAAACTTCTCCTCGCCTTTGGGAAGGCGAGGAGAACACCTTCATTGTACAAACTTTGGGGTGAAATATGAGTCACAATCGGCACAAAAGCGATGTTTTCACGAGCTCAATCTAAGTCACCGTAGCTTATTGGAGCTAGCAACAGAATTTGGTTGCTCGAAAGAACTCATTCACGTTTGCTCGTGCCACGTTCACGCCACTTCATACCGAAAAACAACAAAAATGGCGGAATGTCAAAAATGTATTTGAGGTAATGAGTACAAGATACCCAGAATTGTAATTAAAATAGAGTATCAAATACTCTCGATCAGAAGTATTTGAAAGATACCAAGATACCTGAAAAAATATTTGAAATACAGTATCTTGAGTAGGGTATTTCAGATAGGCACAAGCCTGTATAAATCTGATCCGGCAGCATTACCACAGTACGTCATCTGAAAGGTCTCTGGGAACCAAACTGATACGACATCTTCACCCTCCCTTGTTCTCGGAAAATGGTGGAATTACGAGCAGGACAGAAAGCAATACACAAAACTGAAGTGCCGGATTTCGATTTCTCACCAACATATTGCTATTGCAGCAACTGGAATACCGTCAAAATATTCATACCAGGTAAGAATATTTTAATTGTTTAAAAACAACAACAACAACAGAGATATTAGCATTTAAAGTGACAAAAAAAAAAATATGAATTCGTGAAAATGCTACAACTGCTGGAGAAAAATATAGCCAGTGCTGCTAGCCTGGGTCTTTAACTTGCATCACGCGGTAGTGACAGTGGTACAGGACCGCACGCCGGTACGACATGCTCATCCGGGTCGAAACAGGCAAGGGTGGAAGGATAGACAACAGTTCGAAAAGAAGCGGGATGGTGATGGATCATACCACAGGAGAAAACCATACAAAAAGGTTGCTACTACGTATGTTTCCTGTCTCCCGTTTTAATATGCCTTGATAGAATTCCTCAAGCCTTGATCTGAAAATCACTGGTAAACGGAGATGTGTTGCATTCCATCAAAACGTTTTAAAAACTGGCGTTGGATTTCTTTTCTTTTTTTTTTATTTCTTGTGAAGGGCGGCGCATCGGTATAAGTGTTTTCGTCGAGAACAAGAAGCACGCAAGGAAAAAGACGAAATAACTTCAGCGGATTGAAGATACGCTTGACGTTTCAGGTGATCCGGCAAAACCTCAGCAAGACTATGCCGTCGTGCTCCTTCTTTTTGAGTTTTGCATTCGTTAGCCGACACAACACACGCGATTAACTATGACAAGGCGTGCTAAATCAATCACGAACGGACAGCGCTTGCACCCCTACAAGTTGCGGGCGAAGTAACTGCAAGGCAGGTGATACAAACAAGAGCAAGTGTTACCTTCGATATCCCTCGACGACTCGAGTTCAAAACTTGGCTAGGGCACTCACAGGAATGCGATGGGCCGCCGCTGCCAAGGCAAACCGCTCAAAGTGCGAAGAACTCAGGTACGCGGCTGACTGGACGGAAGGAGGGCAACTGAAACCATTTTCCCGCGAGCAGGTGAGAGACGCGGCCGTCAATCAGACAAGACCCACGACATTCCGGTTGGTCGATGTCGCCATTCTCACGTCATGATCGATAAAAGTAGCGTTAGTTCCGGTTTCATTAGAAAACGATGATGATGATTGCTAGCTAGATAAACAAATAAAAATGATTTTTGTATTAGGCGGCCACACGCGCCATCTTTCCACTGAAATCCCAACAGAGCAAAATAGTTCGTGTATCCCGTGTATCACAGGAATCAATGCGACTTCGGCAGATTTCTGCGACACTTGCATCGAATATTTACCCTGCACATCCTTCTACATTTCGCCAAAAATTCGAGAAATTTGTACTAGATATTAATTCAGGCCCCGATACACTGCCGGATCATTACGATAGGTTTGTGAAACTTTTCAGAACTCTTGGTTAGTGTCGAATAGTGCTTATATTTAGGGTTCTGCGTTTTCGGTTTTTATTTTTTAAAAACTCGGCATACTTTTTTCGGTGTTTATTTTAAAATTTAATTTTCGTTTCTTTTTTTCGGTGTATATTTATTCCCAAAAAGTTTACCGTCTTTTTTCGGTGAATATGAAAGAAACACCATTAGACACCAGATCAGATGATCCTTGTAGCTGTGATATTTGTGATCACTCAAAGAATAACGACACATTAACATGAGTCGTCTTCGCTACAACTTCCGACAGGACACAAAATCTTCAGTGCGCTTCTTTTTCCTTCCCATTCTGACGACGTGACCGTCTGAGGTGATGACCGTACAATAACCAGCGGAATGGAAAAAAAAAAAAGAAAAATCCATTGTATTTATGTTTTTAACCACAGGGAAGTTTGAGAGAGGGTGTTAAGAAAGGTATTAAAGGCTTTCCTCGATGACCTCGGAAGTGCATGAAGCGAAAAACCTTATACTAGCCCGCATCCAAACTTTTTTTCTTTTTAGGACCGGGAACTTGACACACTAAGCCCGACCACAAAAAGAACACAGATGTCTCCCGTCCCGCGAAGGTCAATCCAAGACTTCTTTTGTTGCACGTTGAACCTTGGAAGAGGGCAAATACGAAGGCGTCACACAATGTCGAACTCTTGCAAAGACCTCCCCCTCTCTCTCTCTACCCCCCCGCTCCTCCCCCACCATACTTTTATCAGTTTAAACCGAAAACGTCGAACTTACAAACTGTTCTTTTTCGGTTAAAACCGAATTTCCGAAAATAGATTCGGCGTACCTTTATCGGTTTTTATCGGCTTAAACCGAAAACTCCGAACCCTACTTATATTGCTCCCGACGTATCAAACACCGAAAGTATTCGTGAGTTCCGTGATAATTCTCACTGTTCGTAAGCTCCGTTGGGTACGCTTTCCACCGCGCACTACTGCACTGCAGTGAAACTATACCTGTGCAGTAAACATCAGAATTTTTTGTTTCAAGGTAAAAACTTAATTTTTATTTGTTTACGCCCATGCTTGCCGCAATGCTGTAACCACCTCATGAAACAGAGTGTTTTAGCTTTGATCAACTTTGATTCAATGTTAAAAAAATCTTTTTTATTGGTGAAGAAGGAAGACCAGAGAAGCTGTACTATGGTGGGAATGAAGTAATGGCCGGCTACAAGTCTGCAAGCCGGAATGGAAAGGCTGGAGAGGTTGCCGCCATCTATGAGCGATGGAAGCAACCAGACAACTGGCAAGCCGGTTGTCTGGTTGCCGCCATTACTTATAGATGGCGGTAGCTGTCCAGAGTGCTGTGTCGATATTTGTTTGCAGGCTGACACAATTCTGGGGAAACTAGCCCTTAACAGCTCTGCTGTAAAAAAAGAAAACAACAAAAAGAGCAGGCATTCTACGTAAATAACATGAATTGAAAGCTTTTTTGGGAGCGCCGTTTCAGAAAGACAAGTTTCTCCAACCAGTCTCGTACAAGCTCAGTTTAAAGAACACAGCTATGAATTGTCTTTTAAAGAGTTCTGCAACAAAACACTGCCTACTCTTGACAACATGAATTGAAAGCTTTTTTGGGAGCGCCGTTTCAGAAAGACAAGTTTCTCCAACCAGTCTCGTACAAGCTCAGTTTAAAGGACCCATGAAACGAATTTTGGGCTGGAGTAAATCAATTTATATTGGGATTTTACTTATAGCACATCGTTCAGTGGGCCAAAAGAACAAAATTAGAAAGTCGGAAGCCTGACTTTCGCTACGAAAATTTGCAAAACATAGCGGACTATTTTGTACCTCCTTCCCTTCGTAAACTCTCCGCCTTTTCACTGTGATACATCCGCGGACCCCGCAGCGCGTCACCGGGCTACTAGCCACCATAACCGGGCCCCCGCAGCGCGTCACCAGGCCCAAGCGCACGTCACACGACACCGGACCTCACTTAATCCCTTTACCCCTAAGCTGACATTGCGGTGAAAGCTACGCGCTTGCCGGACCAATCAGCCGCCTCCCTTTCATCGCCTGACCTCATTCTCTGCGGGTCGGTATGCGCGAGAGAGCGTGATCACGTGGAAAATGTGTGGCCGGCCCAACGAGCACGTAGCCTCCACAGCACTGTCAGCTTCGGGGTGAACGGGGTGGGGAAAGCAACTAGTCGGAATTTTGAGCGACGGGCTAATCTTCTAGGGGGACAATGGCTGTGTCCGGCTACACAAGCGAGATTCCGAGCAAGAGGGGACTCCCCCCTTTCCGACTTCTTGAACTGTTTGGTACAATGCGCGATCTATGAGTTGAGGAGGAAAGCTAAACAGGAAAAAGTTGAAAAAGCGTTTCATGACTCCTTTAAAGAACACGGCTATGAATTGTCTTTTAAAGAGTTCTGCAACAAAACACTGCTTACTCTTGACAATGCAGGTCTCGAGGAGTAGACTACCTACGAGCACTGCTGTACCAACCGGGGGGCCCTGGGCCAGGCGTCCTAGTCACATGGGGGGAGGGTGGGTGCACCCTCTGGCAGCAGCCCCCCCCCCCCCTTTCCCCCCCCCCCCTTTACTGGTTGGTTGCAATCTCAGGGAGTGAAGGGGAAGGGGGAGAGCTACAAAAGACATAAGGGCCCCAAGTGCCGGATGGCCTAGCTATGCCACTATCTACATACGAAGAGACCATCCTTCTGATCCATCTATCGGCAGAAACATGCGACAGCCTAATCATATTACTACCATTGGTATCAGTACGTAGGCCTTAATGAATTCCGAGCATACCTACAATGTTGGAATGTGTTGTTATGAGTTGTGCAGTACTACTACATTGCCTTCATTGCCCAAAAAAATTTTTCTTCCTTTCCTGCACAACCTGTTGAGCAACAGTGCCTTGCCAAGTTGCTACAGTCGCCCACATAACAGGCAAAGGAAGCATGTGTTACCTTTAAAGTAGGGTGACCATCCAATCTGCGACTCGCGGGACTGTCCCGCATAAGGGCTTGTGTACCGCGTCCCACAAGAAATTCCCAAATCTTCAAAATGTCCCGCATTTCATACTCTCGTAAAATTCACTCCAAGTCACGGTGCTGCCGAACAACAGGGCACGGGGAAGCGCGGAGGTCGCTGGTAATCATGTGAATTGCAATGGTACGCCATTTTCTATAGAAGCGATCGTCGTTCTTGCAGGAGAAGAGACGTGTATGCTCCGTTGTGCCTTTCCCTGTGGCGGCAAAATATTGTAAGAAAAATTGCTCGCCAAATGTTTAAACATAAGACACTGTAATTATTTTCAAATTGCTGTGTCAATGCAAAGGGTTGCCATGGATCTTTTTTTTTTTTTTTTAGTGAAGCCAGCCACAAAAGGCCTGCAACTCACAACGATTGAAAAAGAACATAATGTTAAAAATTTGTCTAGGACCATGTTGACAAAAGTAAGCGTTGCCAAGAAACAATAACCCGAAAAAAGATTTACTGTTTCTTATTTCCATTTGATGCGTTGAGTTCTGCTACAGTCGATTTTTATGTTTTCAACTTCTACACATTAGTTAACATATTTGTAAAAAAAAATATCATTGGGAGTGAAACTTATTTGAGCTTAATTGCTGCAATACAATTAGCAGGTGTATAAACAGCACAGGATATTAAATGTGTTAACAGAGCCTCGGTTCGTGGTGCGTGTGTTAATAAGTTCCCTCTACCCCCCCCCCCCCCCCCCCGCGTGTCCCGCATTTCGCAAGCAGGAAGGTGGTCACCCTACTTTAAAGGGGTACGGAAACGAAAATTGAAATATTCAAACTTCGTTTGTAAATGAGTCAAGCACGACGGACAATAACCATAAATGACAATCGCCCATTTGTATTTTGAACGACTGTCTATATTTTTCGTTTCAAATGGTGCACTCAAGCAAGCGCTCGAAGAGAAGCCAACGGAGAGCGCGATGGTCATGGAATACCCGGCACAAACAAAAACAGAAAAAAAAGGTTACCCTCATTCGTGACATAGCAAGGCTGGAGTATGCATTTGGTGGCATTGTCAGCGTTGTAGTGGTGTCAATACCATCAACGCGTTACAACCGAGCCGTTCGAAGTACCCGTTGGGTGACGAGCATGGTGGTTGGCCCAAGCAGTGCATAGCTTCCACAGCACTGTCAGCTTAGGGGTGAACAAAGTGGGAAAAGCAACTTTTGTCAAAATTTTGAGCGACGGGCTAATCTTCTAGGGGGAGAATGGCTGTGTCCGGGTACACAAACGAGAGTTTGGTACAATGCGCGTTTTGTGAGTTGAGGAAAGCAATAAAGGAAAATGTTGAATTCCGAAAAACAGCGCTGCTCCGATGGGACTTGCTACATCATGACTAGGTAGCAAGTTACCCAACTTTGCTAGATTACCTTCCAAATAGGCTCCACATGCATCCACCAGGTGCACATTGAAACATTGTTTAATTAGCTTTAAAATTAGTTTTCTTGTGCTTTTCAGTGAAAGACTGGTATCTTTGAGGTTATGCTGCAATATGCAATATGAATAAACATTAAAGCTAAAAAATGAGCGCTGGAATTTCGTTTCTGTACCCCTTTAAAGGGAAACTGAAGTGGTTCTGTACTTTAGGAAAAACCCCCATATCTCTTCATTTGGCCTCCAGGTTCACGAATATCGAGATTATTTTTAAATTTAATGCACGGTGGCTGCATAAACTAATTTTTAAAGTACCACCAAAGCCCCTCCTTCTCGGGGCGTGACGTCATACAAAGAGTATTTAGAAACCCTGTTCTCGTGCATCTTTAGCGCCTGTCAAAGCTATGCACGAGCACTCTTGCCATTTTCAAAAAGGTCAGAAAGAGACGTCACGACTGGCGTCAGTGCGGGGAAATATACCTGGCAAGCGTGCAATTGCACGCGCCGCCTGCACGAGCAACACGCGCTTGGCGGCCCAAAGATCCTAGTACGTGACGCCACGACTGGTCAAAGGTTTTTCGTGTTTTCTCACGTTAAGTTACATCTTCGGGAAAACAAACGTGATATTCAGATTCACGGGATAAAAGCATGTCAAAATGCACCTCTAACACTTTTTTTTTTCAAGAAGTGTTTTAGCTTTCCTTTAATCTAATCTGTATCTTGTAGCAGATCAATAAACTTAATCGAGCAAATTTAGTCATATATTTACATTTAAAAAATTATAAAAACGTTTATCATTTTCAGAAAGCAATTAGTGGCAGAGGTTTGACTAATTAGTTGTACGTGAATGGAAAATCTGACAAGAAGTTCTGTGCACGTGGTGCGATCAAAGCACCCTTGCAAAAAAGCCCACTGGGGCAAACAAGCTCGTACACCACCAAGAGGTAGTATTTGAAATGATGATTCATTTTACAAGTAACATATAACAAATGGCGGTGGCCAAGAGCCTACAATGTTTCTACCAAACATAGCTGCACTGATGCGATTGAACCGTACCGATCTGACACTAAATATTTGATTGAGAGACTTCCTGGAACAGAGAAGAGAAAGACATGACACCTGTGTAGTGCCATCACAAGTCTTGACACGCAACTGTGGTCACCCAATTTTGTTGGATAACTTATCATTTTATTGAAAAGAAGTCGTTCACTCCAAATATGAAATTGGCTCAGATGGAAAGATTAGACAATTAATCGCTCTCCTCTTCGGCTTCTTGAAGCCACTTCACAAACTTTGCAACCTGGAAGTGGAAATGTCAATACACTGTTATTGGAGCCCTGCGCGGATAACAGTATGAGCATCTGCATCCGACCCGCATCTAGACTTTGTATCTGCACCTGAGCTGCATCCGCAATGTTCTTAAACTACAGTAATCCCTCGTCAACTCGAACTTGACTATCTCGAAATATGGGCCAAGTTGAAAGATTTCTTGTCATGGAATGAACTCCCATAGGCACAATGGCATTTACTCATCACTTACCTTGAAAAGTTTTCAGGACCCACCTGGATAACTCAAAATCTCAACAAATATTAAAAAGAAACAGGCAGGGCACAGCAAACAATAAACTGGTGGCCTAAACATTGGTAAAAAAACAAAAAACAATTAAAAAACAAAAAAGAAAAATGTCCCGTGTCATAAGCCTCCAATGCATGGGCCGATCAGCACGCACCTCAAGGACGTTTGTTTTACTTATTTTTTTTTCTCCCCCTGATATGGCTTGGTTGTCGGTTGCCAGTTGCACACTATCTATCTCCCTCGCCCTCAAAGTTATCCTCCACACTTATTTTTTACGTCTTTTTTTAGGTGTCTTTTGGTTTCCTTTTTTTTTTCGTTCTTACTTCCTGGTCTTGCTGTCAAGCCAATTGGTGTGATTGTTGGAAATGTTCCATTGGCACAATTTTTGCACATATGCTTTCTGCTTGGCACATCTGCTCTGACCTCTAAGGACACTGGCTTGAACACCGTGCCAGATATGCCTCCACTTCAATGCATTGATGCAATTGTTCTTGCCAATGTTGAGGCACAAAACTAGGGTCAACAATGAAGCAGTGTCTAAGCAACACGCGTAGCACATGTGCCAAGTTCTACATGACATGGCGCAACCAGAAAACAACTTTGAAAGAGAGCACATCTCTTATAGAAAAACATGGGAAACCGGGCACGCAATAGGCAACTGCTAACCGATCATTAAAAAGCCATCTGGTTGCAACAAAGGTGAGGAGAGGTATTTCCGTGGGCTTCAGGTGACGCGAGCAGAGGGATCGACGTTTTGGTCGGTGCATTGCAACTGCTCATGTCGGATCCTCAGAGCGCATCAAATAGCAGCACTAATGCCCAATGGTGGTGATTGAGTTTCGCAAACCGAAATTAGTGCAAGAAAAACTTAAACGCACCGCCTTCCGGACCGTGGTGTGCGCTTCTGCTGTGCTGGGGTCTTCCTTCTCGAACCAGTGGATGATGGCGTCTTCAGACAGGAGCTCTTCGTCGTACAACCAGTTCAAGATGCCTGCCAGGGATGGCAAGTACCTGTCGTATGCCGAGACAAATTCCTGCGAGGAATGGCATTGCCCGACCTCTAGCAACTCCAAACTTGAAAGCTTTCTTACCTGGACACCCAGCTAGCATGCCAGACAAACGCCTAACTAGGTACAAGCTTGTCAATCCTAAGGGCTTAACTTGGGCATAATACAGTTTTGTTCCAAGGCATTGGTTAGTGCCAGGGTTCCTTTCTTTGGCATCTCTATGGCTTTGCCCTGGCTCACCACATAGTCACCAAAGGACCAGACCTTACCCAGAGATGCCACATATCAACCAAAGAACCAGCAGCAAAGCCTAAATCTGGCACCTGTTTGACGAGCCAAGATACCCAGACACTGGCGAAAAGAGTACGCCTCTACCTTCCTTTTTTTTCATATGGTTTAGACCCGTAAACTCCCAGACAAAATACCAAATTATGGCCCAAAGAACTGTGCTGCCTAAATATGCTTTAGATGCAAAAAACTTTTTTTTTGAAGTGTTTCAATAAAAGTGATAATTTAGGTAGCGAGGCTCATTTTTAGTATCGCAATCTGCTTCTTTTTAGTGTCTCATTTCTGAACGATGTACCGAAATATCAAAATCACTCCCAACTCTAAACATTTTTTTTTCTATCTTTTTATCTTTTATGCTCCAGAACACTTAAAAGGGCGGTGCAACGATTTTAAGATTAAAAGAATTTGCATATCGTCATTTTTACATTGTTTATCGTGTCCCGGAGGATAGAGAAAACATTTCCTTCATTAAGAAATGTCGCAATTCTGCTGCATAATCGCAAAGCAAAAGTCTAGCTTTGTACCCCACCTGCAGCCGCAAGTGGCAGCCGAAGGAACTACGGCAAAAAGATAATGTGACCTCGCTCGGCTCTAAGCTGCAGCCTAACGCCCGCTAATGTCAGCAGAGAGAGGGAGAGGAAGCGTTCTCCGAGACCGCACACGGGAAGCTACACGGCACCCCGAATGACGTCACTAAAAAAGGGACCAGGTAAAAAGGGGACCCAGACGACTGGGAGTGAGTTGAGGGGTGCCAGAAATGCCAATATTTATCTTTTTTTTTTTACACAACAACTAGGATGCGCAGGCGAAATCGGTTTTCTGTTCTGTACTTTAAAAGTGTCGAAGGGCAACTTCTAGAAATGTTTGATCGAAGTCCATAAATCGTTGCTCCTCCCATTTAAAGGGGGCCATGAAATGATTTTTCAACTTTTTCCTTCTTAGTTTTCCTCCTCAACTCACAAATTGCACAACATTACCAAAGGTACAGGGGGGAGAGTATACCGCTAGCAGTTCAAGAGGAGGGAAAGGGGGAACTCCCCTCTCGCTCAGAGTGCTCGGACCTTCGTTTGTGTACCCGCACGTCACCATACTCCCAGCAGAAGATTAGCCCTTGATTAGAACGTCGCTCAAGATTCGGACAAAATTTGCTTTTCCCACCCCCTCTAGCCCGTGGCTTCCGCAGTAGTGCGCACAACTATCCTTCGTTCACCCCTGCATTGCAATGAAAAGGCGGAGAGCTTTCGAAGGAAAGGAGGTACGAAATAATCTGTCATATTTCAAATTTCCGTACCGAAAAGCAGGCTTTTGAATATGTCTTTCTTTTGGCCCCACTCAATGATATGCTAATAGTAAAATCCCAATCTAAATTCATCTATCCTAGCCCAAAATTCATTTCATGGCCCCCTTGAGGACCGCTCACACGCTCTACTTTTTAAGGAGCGAGTTCTTGCCATCTCTTACGACGAAAACGCACTGGCACGCTGGCGCCGTCTCTGAAGTGACCCTGGAACGGCATTTCAATAGAGCAAAGGTTTTGCAGTATTTGTGAGATAAAATGTACATGCTGCCTAACCTGATAACATCAACAAAAGTTTCGCGAGCAAAGAACGAAAGAACGATGCACTGACAAAACAGGAAATACTGCAACTTATTTTTCACGGGCTTAATATTTTGTGATTTAGGTCAAAGCTGAAGCTTTGGAATATTTTGCGGGTTTTCATTTTTGCGACGCGGTGGGATCTCAATATACTGCAATGTGTTTACATTTTACTGGAATTGGTCACGGGACCTATTTTTTGCAAACTGCAGGCGATTCGCGAAAATTAGGTCCTCCCGAAAATTAAGTCGTTTACAGTATATGAACCACGGCTAGCCGCCATTGTCTTCTGTTCTCGTAAGAGATTTGAAGAAACTTTGAGCCACACGACAGTAAACAGTTGCGAGTGCATTAACCAGCCTTTGGAGATAAACAACCCATTCCGAACTACGAGCGACAGACGTCACTTGCCTCGAGTCCAGCGAGGCAGTCCAGCATGGACTCTGTGTCCTTGACGTAGTTCCGGAGGAGGGGGCGGAACTGGACCAGGCACTTCTTGACGCGGGAATTGTACTCCGGCGTGGAGAGGGCGCCCCCACTGCCGCCCTGGTGGCACAATACCGGCGTCTCCAGCACCACCCGGCTCACGATCGATATCACCCCTTTCATGGCGATGTTGTACGCATACCTGAAACGGAGGAGGCACCGGTGACAACCCGCGCGGTCTCAAAGGGTCGCTAAAGCGTATTTAAGATATTCCCTGCGCGGTCTCAAAGGGTTGCTAAAGCATATTTTAAGATGGTCTTTTTTTATAACGCTAGCTCAATCTATGCAACCAAGCGTCCTGGCGCGCCCCTCTGTTGAGACATATCTCGGAAAAGGGGGCGTGCCGCGATGTCTGGCGGCGTTTGTGATGAAGAAAAAGGCCATGCAAGATTGTATTTCCGAGCTTTCCGAGATGCTTGGGGCACATAGAGTGAGCGTATGCCATGGAAAGACAAACTCAAAATTGACTCCAGTGACCCTTGAAGGCTGGTTCCCAGATTTACGTCTAGGGGCATTTTTCTTATTTGTTCACTGTTTATCGCAAGGATCGACCCGGTACCAGGGGAGGCGGAGTAATAGTGGCTATTAGAAACAGTGTCTCATCCTCTTTTATCGCCCTCAACAGCGTACGCTTGAAATTTTGTGGGTCACCATAAAGCTGGAATTTCAGACATGCGTAGCTGATGTGTGCTACCGCCCGCCGAGCTCTCCGGCCAACTTTGTTGAGGGCTTCACAGAAGTTTTCGACAAGATCCAATGTAGATTCCCTAACTGTCCTCTCATATTGGCCCGAGATTTCAACTATCCTGGCATTGACTGGGGTGCCTGTGTTGCACCTGATGAATGTGCAAAGAAAAGTGAGTGTTGCAAGTTACTTGATATGGCCAATCACTTTAATATGAAGCAAATAATTACCGCTCCTACTCGAGGAGATGCTGTTTTAGACTTAGTCTTCACAACTCACCCAGAACACGCTAGTGTAAAAGTAACCGACCAAATTAGCGATCGTTATGCTATACATTGTGACTTCTCTCTGGTTGTTAATAAGCGGGACTCAATAAGGAAAGAAATATTTGACTATAAGAGAGTTGATTCGGCAACTTTAGAGTCTCTGTTCCGCAAATCTTCCAGCACATTTCTTAGTGGATTTGATGAACGGTCTGTGAATAAAACTTGGGTCCTTTTTCGGGAAAAACTATTGGAGGTTCAATCCGTATGTGTTCCAACTTTAAAAATCGCTCCAAGCTTGCACAAGCCCTGGTTTACAACTACTATTAAAATATCTATTCACAAACAGAAACGTGTGTACAGGCATGCCCTTCACTCAGGCTCAGAACATGCCTGGACCGTTTATCATGCTTATTCAGTAAAATGTAAAAAAGAAATAAAAACCGCCAAACAAACATTTTATGACGAGGATGTCTCAACCATGCTTAGAACTGATGCAAAAAAATTTTGGAAAGTAATTAATTCTAAACCTTCACCAGTATTGCCAAACGTTTCTTGTGATGACGGGTCTTTTTTGGGCCCACGCCAATTGGCCGTTGGGTTTAACACCTTTTTTAGCAGTAACATTTTTAGCAGTAAAAGTAGCCATAACATGCTGAATGTATTATGCAGGACATTGTTATCACCGGTCACGGGGTCGAGTGACTGATCGTTTGAACGCTAACTCCTGCCCGGGCCCTGATGGAATGTCAGCCTAACTCTTTAAATTAACCTAACACATATCTGGGGTTCTACTTGGTAGGCTGTTTCAATGATCCCTCTGCTCTAGCGAAATACCTGAAGACTGGAAACTTGCCTACATCATCCCCATTTTCAAGTCTGGTGATAAGAATTCTTTCAAAAACTACAGGCCTATTTCGCTAACCTGCGTGGCATGCAAACTCATGGAACATATACTTTCATCCCAGATTATGACTCATCTATCCAGTAACAACCTCATCTTTCCAGACCAGCATGGCTTCCAATGCAAGCATTCTAGTGAAACCCAGCTGTTTTAATTATTGATAATGTGGATGCTTGGGCTAGCTGTAATTCATGCTTGGAAGGGACAGCGCGGATATACAGTCACACTCACAGGCACACAAGAAGGAAACAGACCCGCAGCGCTGACTAACAACTCAGTCTTATATTTCTTCTTCCTCAAATCGTCAACTTCTTCTCCTTTGCCATTCAAGAGAACATTTTAAATGTTTAAACACCAGAAACCAAATAGCCAAAAAACATAAATAAATAAATAAATAAATAACAACATAAATGACACCTCAACATAAAATAAAAAATAAATTAAAAAATTAAAAAAAAATTATTAATTTCCATTAAAAAAATAATTCTAAAAATATAAAAAAAAATATATATAAAATATTTTTTCATATTTTTTTTCACTATTGGTACTTTGATGTTATCTCGAGATAATCCAATTCCTTTTTTGATAAAGCTAAGGATGGGACACTGACACATTGCTTGTCCAACCTGGCTATTTTTTCAGCTTCAATAACCTCTCGTGTCAGCTGATTACCACTTCTGGCAATAACAGTGCAGTTACTTAAGTTCGCTGAGCACCCGCAGTCCCGGCAATTACTCTATGTTATAGTGATGTTCATGTAACCGATCATTTAGACACCTCTTGGTTTGCCCGACATACTGCTTACCGCATGAGAGGTTGAATAAAAAAGCATCACACACGTTTTGTTCTTTGTGCTGAAGGGGTGGTTTATGCAATTCCCCTCTCATGAGCAATCAAAAACAAATCTTTGTGCAACGGAGACAATCAAACATGGCGTCTTGCTGACATTGGGGACCGCTAGAAAGATGGCCTTAATCGCACAATTTAACTACTTTTACTGCTCGTTTTTTGGATGGCAACAGCAGTGAGGACTGTGATGTCGGATTATTTGATCTGAGCTACAGCGACAACTCACCTCCAAGGCACAGATTATCGACAGGTGCTCAATGGAGAGCGTCATTCGCTCTATCTAGGTTCTCCTAAGTTGGGACACACAATTTATGAGTGGCGCAAGTCATAAGAACATCAGCAGAGGAGGACAAGTTAGGGTAGTGCTATAACAAACCAAGGTTTCGTGCAAAGGAAAAAAAAAGTGTTCTGAAGGACATGCATTTCCACATGCAACTGCATCTCTGAATGGCATGAAGTCATGAAAACACACCTGCCGACGGACCCTCCCCAAAAAAAGAACAGAATCAGCTAGAGCCTTCTAACTTACAGAACTGATAGCGGTGTGTCTGGGGCACACTTGGCACTCTGAGGCTTTTTTAAAGGCATAGCGTCATTTAATATTGGCGATGAGATGTTTCGGTAGCGCCCCCTTATAACTTCTATCCCCGACACCACACCCAAGATTCGTCGTGGCGAGCAATGAGTTCGATGGCGCGTAAAAAGTGCTGCGGAAGCCTAGGAATCACGCTCTTCAATCAGCGCGGTCAGGGGTGACAGTATGACACTGCTCTCATTCACATCAACGAGAGCAGAAATTATCCCACTCAAGACGTCACCGCAAGCGTTTGGTCAATCGTGGATGGCCGATTGCAGCGACGCTTTTGGTCGTGCACGTCGCCAATAGCCGCAAAAGCACTTTTTGTACTCATGTTTGCACAAATTCCAAGTTCAGTATTTAAATCCGACAAACTTTTTTTTTTCAGACATTAGTTTAAACCTTTTTACCTTCTAAAGAGCAGCTTATTTGCAACATTTCAAATTATTATCATTAGCCATATGCCGAGTGGTTTCTTAAAATAAAAAAAATGTGTCCTCCGGTTTTCAAAAAGCACCACATTTCCTCGTGGTACGGAAGGAGTTGAAAACGATTCACCTTCGCGGACGAAGTCGTCAATCGCGAGCATGGATGCATTTTGCGCCCGAGCGAATTCGGCTCACCGTGAGGAGTTAATCTCGAGGATGAGGTTGTCGCACTTGATGTTTTCCTCGAAGCCGCGCTGCAGACTTTCTACCACTTCGTTGTAGAACACTGGAGAAGGCGAGAGAAAAGTGGCACGAATGAAACCCATGCGCATCTGACACGTCAGGGACGAAGATTCCTCCCTCGTAAATTAGTGGCAACGAGTGCACGATACGCCACCACTGGGACGTGTCTCGTTGCAACCACAGTAGTCTCGACGCAAAACGTGAAAGACCAGAGGCGAACTCACGCCGCGTGTCGTCGGGGGGCGGGGAGGCCCCCTCGGAGAGGAGGTCCTCGTCCGAGTCCTCCTGCTGGCTGTCCTCATCCTCCGAGGACGCGACCTCTTGGCCCCAGACGTCCTGGGGTCCGAGCTCCTCTTCGTCGAGGTCTTCGTCCGGCTGACAGAGGAAGCCGTGTCCCTCTCGCCCGACCAGATCCCTGTCGCACTCTGCGAGGACCGTTTGGTTAGCGGTAAAACTTTTAAAGGCGATAATCTTCTTTGTGGACGTAAGGTTACTACATACGTCCAACCAAGGGGCATCAATATACCCACCCGGATACAAGTATTTGAATCCAAGCTAAACAGTTCCCGACGAGTTTACCGGCACGTGCCCGCATTTACCCCGATCCTGATGATGTGCCCCCGATTCCAACGCACACCCAGTTTCTATGCGGAGCGCAAGTTTGTTTGCTTCTTGCGCAGGGGTTGCAGTGACGTCACACCGCGCCGAGCTCTGATGGGAAAGATAGTGCTATAGCTGCTATGATCGGTCTACCCATTATCCTTCCAATCGGAGCCAATCAGAGGTCGGCGTTCTGATGTCACCTCAACCCCTGCGTGAGAAGCAGACGGAGTTGTGCTCCGCATACCCCACAACAATGATTATAATGTATTTAACTCTGACGTGTAGCAGTTTTTAGGTATACTTTTCTTGAGATAAGGTGCAAAGCAAAATCTGATAAGCCCGGTAAAGAACCTTTAACCTAAAAAAAATGTTTGCTTTCTATGTCCGTGTCCTCGTCTTGTCAGGTTGTACCTTTAGAAAGATTTTGCTGTATTGTACAAAAACGCATCGCAGGCTCGCGCACATCTTGTGCAATTTCTAAGTCCATGTTTATAAATTCCATATTAAAAGGTGCAGAAAATTCTACCTTCGGTCTTTTCCACAGGGTCTCCAAAGTCGTCGACGACTGGTTCAGCCTGAAGGAGCGTGTTCTCCTTGAGTGTGATGTCCGGTCCCACGGTGACCTAAGTACGTCGTCTTTCAGTCTCGATCTCCGACACCAGTGCCAAGCGACTGCTTTGCGCTAGTGTTTTGGAATTACTACAGTATTTCGCTTTTATCTTGTTTAAAATTTTACTACTAATTGACTCATTGATAAGTGCACCACTAAGGAGGCGTTAAGCTGTTGGTGGTCACTCAAAATAAAAATAAATAAATAAATAAATATGTGCTGCTGTAACGATTGTCTAGACAAAATTTTTCTGTCGGCCAATTAATTTTCAAACTACTGCGCCTCTAGTGGTCATTAAGCTCACTCACCACTGCCTAATGCGCTACCTTTTTTTCGCTCGGCAAGGGATGGTGGTGACTGCTCTCCCCCCCCCATCCCAGCTACCAAGGGTGAATTTTATTATAACAGACCTTGATAGTAATAGATTTTGGTCTGTTGTAAAAGGAGTATGCAGAATGAAGATTACTCTGGTGGATTATGTCTGGCCTTTGTTCTAACCAGTGAGATTGACAAAATGAAAATGAATATTAGGAAAGAACTAGTTTATTGAAACTTCTGAACTGAAAAAGGTAAAGTGATTTTTGTTGAGCTGCACCAATGATAGTCATCACTGTGTACTCTGGGTCATACAAGACTCGCTAGACACAAGTGCAATGACTGCAATCAACAAAATGGATGTCACCGCTACCAAATTAATGCCACGTAATGTCCGAAATAATGACGGCTGTCGAAGAGTCTGCCATAATGAAATGGTGAACTACCTTAATATCCCGAAAGATAGCCCACCTAAAGTGAGAGCAAATTGAGTGAAAATGAGGGATGGGCTAACTTTCGGTGTGCAATCAAGAACATTTCTAAGAATGCTACTCTTATAATGTGACCTGCCAAACTGGTTTCCACGTTGAGGGGCAATGGAGCAGAGAAAACTGTACTTTCCAGTTTGGAATGTTCACCTATCCCCGCTGTGGCCGAGTAACACCAATTCTGCCGATGTCATCATGGGCTTTGCAATTACTAGAGGTGGGCTATATCTTTCGGTGGTTTTGAGAGAATAGTAAATTGTGCCAAAAATAGGGGTGGGTTATTTTTAGGGGCTGGGGCATCTTTAAGGATACTGCAGTACCTACAAACTCCCTACTATGTATAGTTCATTATATATCCAAATATATGTTATAACAGGATCCGTAGCGAGAAAAGTTAGCTCAATGGCATAGATAGGAAGACCAACCAAACTTAACAAATCGGTATGGTATAACTGAATGTCTGCTTTAACCAGATCTGCTGTAAAGAGGTTAAATTGTATATCTGTTTATCTTTAGAAAGAAATGCCTCATTCATGGTGAAACTGCAATTACCTTCGTCTGTGACATTCATTCATGTCATTCAATCTGTTTGGGACATTACATCTCTGTGGAGCCAAGCCAAATTCTCAACACCACTGCCAAGCCCGAACCATAAATCTGCTCCTGCTCGAACTTCTCATTTGCAGTAGAGCGTGAACAAAACAATGCACGTGACATGTCATGCCAGAGGCATGAGGAACATGACAAATGGTACGATACATGTGCAAGCGAGAGCTTACTCCATAGGAAAGAATGCAGCCGGGGCTGACGGTGACATTTCGTTTCACGACGACTCCAGTGGCCAGCAGGCAGGTGGTCAGCCTGCAGCCGTCCTCGATGACCACATCGTCCCAGGCGTAGACGCCGTCCAGGCTCACATTGGGGCCTGCGGAAAAGTTGGGTCGGTGGTCGGTGCAGGCAGACACATGGAGGAGGCGTCTGCAGGGGTGCAGCCGTTTCCCATGGCCCTGCCTTTGGTCCTTGATTAATATTTCTGACGAATACAGCTCATGTTTCTATGGGGCATTCCAAGCAATGAGGCTGCGAACTAATGTTACCCCATACGCTTGTGCATCTGCTAGCCATAGCAGATGCACAGACAGATGAATGATAAAGCTGACATGTTGCTTTTAAAGTGACTGCACGAGGCAAACAAATTGGTGAAGCACGTCCACAACACCAAAAGACTAGGAAAATGAAAACAATAAGCAACTAATACACGGAAAATTTCAATGGACAGAAAGATGTGCAACTATTTGTGTGCAACTTTATACTTTACTTCAAAGGAACAGTATAAGGGTACTACTTATGTTTGGCAAGATTTGTACTAAACAAATTTTCGAGGATCCAGTTACCCAGGAAAAATATTTGCAGTTGGAAACTCTGGCATTTTTCTCTGCAAGAAACTGTAGCCATGAGGACCAATTGCTACAGCCTTCCATCAGCATTCCTCACAGTGGCCCTCTAGATTCAGTCTGTCCTTGCTAGTTTTCCTCAGCAAATATACAACAAACAATGTTGAGTAGTGTCTTGACACTAGTCTAATGTACACTTCACAGAAAAAATAAATTAGTTTTTGGGGAGTGTCAGCATCCCTATATTAACTATCAGGGTTGTGCGAATATTCGAAATTTCGAATAGTAGTTCCGAATAATACAATATTCGATATTCGCTTCGAGAAAAACTGCACTATTCGCGTTTTTCGAAGTGTTGATTGCCGCGGGTTGGCTCCGTTGAGTGCGCTTCTTACCAAGCACCGGTGCGCTGCGGAGAAGCAATACCCGCGAAAGCGAGCTTCGCGGGTGTTGCTTCTCCGCAGCGCACAGGTGCTTGGTAAGAAGCGCACTCAACGGGGTAACCCGCCGCGATAAACTTTGGAAAGTATGAATATCGTAATTGCGTGCTTGGAAGTAAAGCATACATTCACAGCGGGAGGGCGCACCTGTGCCGACTGTATATGAAAATAAATGAAAACTTTGTGAATGTGTATATCTACATTGCAGTAAAAATTTTAAAATTAAACTGTTATGCAAGAGTATACTATGTTAGGCAGAGATGCCCTTACAACCTGCGTTCATCATGCACGATTCATCTTTTTTAACTCGAGATTAAAGAAAGAATATTTTATATAGCAAGATTTGTAAATTAACTCCATTGGGTATAGTTGGCCATCTCTACAGGATTCATTTCATGTCAGATTCGTCACTTACTTGCCATCCCAAGACACCGGACCTTCTGAGGTCACAGTTCATAAATATAGATAGATTAAGCTTAGCTTATAAATGAACAAGTGGAACAACCTTCACAAGTTTAGCTGGGTTTTTGTCTAAGCATTATGCAATGGTAGTAAAAGGCGTGGAAAAACTATTCGATATTTGAATCGAAAATATTCGGCCAAAACCACTATTCGCTTCGAACTCAAAATCCACTATTCGCACTAGACTATTAACTATTGTTTTTGTGCAAAAGATGTGATCTATACTCCGAGTTCTGGGTAAATGTATCATCAAATTAAAGATTCTGACATGCTATATCCTTTGATGTAAAAAATAAGTAAGCGGTTCAAAGATTAATTAATTACTTCAGGGAAACATTCTACTCGGTGTTGCAGCCGAGAAAGCATTTTTTTCCGAAAACAACATTGCGGCATCTTCATTGGTGAACACTTTTTCATTATTCTGAGAAAATGGCTTTCCCTTCAGGGAAAAGCATATTCTTTGTCCATAAACGGCACATTTTAGAATATTAAAAAATGGTGCACAGAGTTTGGGACATTGTGTCTGCCGTTTTGATCCCAATGTGAGATGCAGATATCTGGTGCATGTCAATCACGCAGTTGTTGACAATCACCAAATCGGTTATGGTCATGCCATCACTGATCCTTGTGCCCGCACTGAATTTGGGACAGTGTGCCCACCATTTTGACCTCAATGTGAGATGCAGATGTCTGGTGTGTACCAATCACGCAGTTGTTGCCAATGACTGAATTGGTTATGGTCGTGCCATCACAAATTCTTGTGCCGGCACTGAGTTTGGGACAGTTTGCCTGCCTTTTTGATTCCAATGTGAGATGCAGGTTTCTGGTGCATACCAATCACGCAGTTCTTGCCAATCAGCGAATTGGTTATGGCTGTGCCATTGCCGATCTTTGTGCTGGCACAGAATTTGAAACAGTGTGCCCACCGTTTTGACCCCGATGTGAGATGCAGATGTTTGGTGCATACCAATCAAGCAGTTCTTGCCAATCACCGAATTGGTTATGGTTGTGCCGTCGCCAATCTTTGTTCCGGCCCCGACAAGGGTGTTCTGCTTCAGCATGCAGCTCCTGAAACGGTGTATCAGAGTGGGATTACATTCTGCTCTATCGCACAAGCGAGAAAGATGTTCCACTGGTATGCCAGTTGTACTCCAACATCAAAACAGGAAGCCACATTCCGACTGAGAAGCTCATCCGAGGTATCCAAATGGCAAGTTCACAGCCAATGTACAAAATCAAAACAAAATTTCCAGTTTGTCTGAAAATCCCTACCTGATGTCCTTTTCATTCTTCTTGCCTGTCCTCCTTGTACGAAAGCCTCGAGTATGGTAAATAATCTTTACAGAAGGGAGGAAAGGTTGTGCACCAGCATTTAAGAAGGAATAAAACCTTTCATATGTGATCATTGTATCAAGATTGCAAAGCACGACAAATCACGAAATTTGCGGCAGGAGTCAGACAAAGACTAAGGCAGAAATTTCTTTTCTCGTCGCAATGCTCTTATAAGTCTACCATAAGGCTCCGTGCAGGTGCTTCTTACTTGCATAAATACACCCTCACTTGTTTTTCCTTTTTAAATTTAAGAAGCATAAAGAGTACATGGTTTTGAATACTACACTCTCTATAGAGGTGCCAAACCACCAGTTTTGAAAACTAAAACATATTTATAAAAAAGAAGTGGTCTAGCTGTTCTTCTATTTTTTTTTTTATTTTCTTATCCTTCGCTTTTTTCCTTCTTTTCTAATTTTTTAACTTACGGGTTTTCTTCCTTTTCTCATTTTTAAATTTCTTTTTTATGTATCTCTTTTAGTTTAGAAAATTTGGGACGGAGAGAATATGCATTGAAGGAGACATTGGTAAATGTTTGTTGCTAGTGGAAAGAACTGTGCTGTCTGTCCTTGTCCCTCAAGGGACACTCGGGCGATTTCTTGAGCTACCCCAGCTAACTATATTTTCGGAATCACCGACCTTTACCCTTTCCGGTATGCTATTTATTATCGCAAAATTCAAAATAGTTACTGTGAACTCGGCAAGTGAAAATTATGCCAAAACCAACATTAAAATATACCCGCGCTTTGCAGTGCCGTGACAGCAGGGGAAGGCAGGTTGAAGGTCAGGCGGGCAGGTCAAAAGTAGAGTATGCCGATCATCTGTTTTGTGCTGCTGCATGGGTGCTGGAGCGAGCTTCCAAAGCACTCATTTGAAACCATGAAACTGCTTGTAAATAGTTGGGAACATAGTCTACAGTCCAAAGAGTAAACCCCTGCCTTTCCCTGATGTCACTTTTTCATTTTGCCAGTAGCAACTTTCACTTTGAAAAACACGGTGAGGACCAAAATTGTAAACCCAATAACCTCGCAAAAAAAAATTAATTATTTTGGCCCAATATTTGGGTTACTATTCCAGCAATGTTTGTTGGAGTGTTTAGCAAATTTCTGGACAAATTGGGAACTATGAAGAAAATGCAGGAGTACACCTTTAAATGTTTTTCTTCTTTCACTGATAGTTGTCTAACCGCTTGTACCTTGAAAGCTGCAATCCGTCGCACGGCTTGTAGATGCAGTGGCGCTGGTAGGCGTAGGAGGTGCTCTTCCCGATGGTGTGGTCGGGGACCAAGGGATACGCCCACCTCTGGATGACGTCCTTGCTGTCAAAGCACCCGGTGCCATGGCACTGGTCAACTTGACAATCAACAACGCTACGTAACAGTCCTGATCCGGAAAAGCGGAGATCACAGCTGATGTAACATCATCTATATTTCAGAGCTTAGAAGCACCCTGCAAAAGATCTTTCTAGAATAAGGCTTAGCAATTTCAGATTTTGCTAGACTACTACATTAGATGAAAATAATCCCTGGAGAAGGGGAACAAGAGGGAGAAAGGACAAACACAAATCTCCAAATACAGCTGGGTGACTGGTGCATGACCAAAAAGATCCACCTGGTCCGGGTATCGAACTTGGGACCTCTCCATTTCCAGTGGAGTGCTTTAACTGAGCTAACCAGGGGTTAGACGTAGTAGAGCAAACAGGTTTTATCAGCTGCCACCAGTCTGACACCAGCAAGGGCGAAGCTTGAATTTTTAAGTTGGAGATTTGTTTGTCCTTTGTCCCTCTTGTTCCCCTTCTCCAGGGATTATTTTCGTCATCCTTGTCCAGCTCGCTTGCACCTTTGCATTTAATTGCATTATAATTACTACAGTAGGTTCACAACTCGTAAAGCAAAAAAGGCAGTATAAAAATGGTGCCATAATAGGACAGCTTTGGATGCGCTTCATTTTTACCAGTGATACATAGTAGTTTCGCACATTGTCAGCATTCATAAACTGTCAGAATTGACCCAGCAGATGAGCTAAACTGCTGGCTAAAGCACTTTTGTTCCTAACTATCCAAAGGAAAACTGCATTTTCATCATTTTTGTTCCCATCTTGGAAACTAAGACTCGGATGCTGAAAGTGCCATCAAACTAGTACCACATTGTTTTTTCATAATAGATTCTACTCAATGTTAAAATGGGAAGATTAGAAACAATTAATGCATTTGCTACACCAATGCTATTTTATTGTTATGATATTTTTACGGTTTACCTCAAACTGTTTGTTATATAATGGTATGTTGCTATAGAAGTGGGGCTGTTACACTGAGTGGATGGCACCACATTCAAAACACATGGCAGAGTGTAAAAAACCATTCCATGTGGACCACTGTGTATATGCATACTGGGCTGACCTGACAGAGTCATACATGACCACATTGGAGGCGGAAGCGGCATAGCAGGTGCCCGACACGTGCATGTAGATGGAATTGCCCATAATCTGCGGGAGACGGGGGAGGAAAACAAGGAGGCCAAGTTGAGAGAGCTACAAACCCTCCGAAAAATCCTAGCTCGAAATGGTACAGAAAGCACAAGGGAACCTTTAAAGGGAAACTGAAGAGATTCTTGGAAAAAAATGAGTTAGAGGTGAATTTTCGAGTATTTTTATCCAACGATTCTGAATATCACATCAGTTTTCCCCGAAGATGTAACTAAACGCGAGAAAACACGAAAAACTTCCGACCAGTTCTTACGTCATATAAGGATCTTTCGGCAGTGCGTGCAATTACAAGCCTGCCAGGTATATTCCCCCACACTGACACAAGTCGTGAACTCTTTTCATGACCTTTTTGAAAATAGCTAGAGTGCACGTGCATAGCATTGAGAGTCGCTGAAGGTGCGCGAGAGCGGAGATTCCAAACACTCCTTTTATGATGTAACGCTTCAGGAAGGAGGGGCTTCAGCAGCACTTTGAAAATGATATTCTGCAGCCTCCGTGCAACAGAGACTTCTCACTCACAGTCATCAAACACCACATAATTATAGAAGAATTAAAAAAAAATCTCCATCCTCAACCACCGATCCATGAGCTCAAGGAACACAGAATTAGAGACTCACTAACAATGCATCAAGCACATATCCTTGAAGCAAGGCAGTATACTTACAGCCATGTGCATATTCTTAATTTCATACTCTGCACTTTCCTCGTAAGATGAATACTGTAAACGACTTAATTTTCGTGAACCTAATTTTCGCGAATTTCGCAAATCGCCTACAATTTGTGAAAAATAGGTCCCGCAAACGATTTTGGTAAAATGTAAACACATTGCAATCTATATTGAGATCCCCCTGCGTCGCGAAAATTAGCACCCGCAAATTATTTAAAAAGCTTCAGCTTTGACCTAAATTGCGAAATATTCAGCCCGCGAAAAATAAGTTGTTTACAGAGCTTTCCAAACATAGCTTGGTATATTGTGTGATTTAGATCTTGATCACAAGCAACATCACAGCTTTGCTCTTTATAGGCACGTTCAAAATAAATCAGTCGATAAAATAATCAATGGCGTTTCCGAATGAAACCCGCCTGCAATCCTCTGAAAGAATTGAGCACAAGCTCATATGCTTTCTTAAAGCAGTACTTCAACAATAGAAGCTTGTGATTCACTAGCTCAATCTCAGAGTTCTTGGTATTGCTCAATGACCTGGAGAAGCAAGCCAACTTAGCCATAACGGTGACACGGCTTGATGAAAAAAAGCCTAACAGTAATGGTCTAAATGAAGCACAAACCTACCACATAAGTAATGCTGACAGTTGTGATCACCCAGTAATCCTATTATAACCCAAGAGCAATCAACTGATCAGTCAATGCACCCCACAAATGTACTTACTCAGTTTCACTCTTATTATACATGCGCTCAGTGCACCTACCCTCCTGCTGGTACACTATAAGTAAAGTTCCGTGTTTTCGGATAAATCCGAAAAAAATACCAAAAACACTCGCAGGTGAATTTTTCCTCAATTCGGATTTACCCGAAAAGGTCTGAATTTCGAGGTCACAGCGACAAAATAAACAGCAAAAAACACGGAGTTTTACAACTAAACTTTATAAAAGCACAGGGTCAGTGGTCCTGAGGTCCTTTGTAATTTGGAGCTACTGATAAAAAGGGGGTTTGCTTTTTAGCGCCTAGAGGTTCCTTTGGGGCAACAGTTCACGGTACCTGGATCTTATTTATTTTGTATTTTAATTTTTAAATTTTACGCAGTAAAATAAACTTTGAATTTCAACGAATTAGGAATCTAACAAAAATAAACTCCGATAAACACCGAATCCCCAGCGAAAAATAAACTCAGAAAAACACCCTCCAAAATTCACAAGAAATAAACTCCGAAAACACGGAATCCTAACTATAAGCAAAGTCTCACATGCTCAGTGCGGAATGTGATTTTGAGGTTGCAGATGATTACAAACATTGCACCAAACCTTTTCTTCATAGACATTTCTTGGGGCAATACCCAACACAGTTCCCTAGGAAATTCCCTTTGGGCATCGTTCCCTAAGCATGTCCTAAGGATATGCTTTCCGTGTACCCTGTGGGAAGGCAGCCATTTACGCTTTCTCCATTCCTTATTTTGCAGAGCACTGTCACAGGTACACCCGTGATATAGCTCCAGTGAGGAGAGGAAGTCGTCTGCTTCTTGCACAGCAAGCTGATGATGTCAGAACGACGCCAAGCTCTGAGTAGCTTTGATTGAAAGGATAGTGGGTAGACCTGAATACTAGATGCCTTGAGGTCTACCCACTATTTGTTTTCAATCAGCCGGTAAAAGCTCGGCATTCTGACATCATTGCACCTCCTGTGCAAGAAGCACAATAACTTGCGGTCTGCATACCCTGACCTCTTGGAAAAAACTGTGGCATCCAAGACACAAATCCACGTTGCAACTGGCCACCCCAGGCAGTGACTGACCTCCTCGTGTTCGAGGATGCCCTTGACGAAGTCGTGCCTCGTCTGGTAGTCGAAGTTGTCCGAGAAGATGGGTGGGACGTGGGGTGAGCAGATGGCGATGTGGGAGTCCAGTAGGTCATGGCGCAGGCTGACGCGTGGGTGCTCTTGGAAGATTGTCTGGGCATGGAAGCGTGCCACTGATCGCTATTCAGATTCTCTATTAGAAAGTAACATGCGTAGCATGCTCCAAAAATAATATCCTAACGTCAACTATTGTCTTATTTTTCCTAAAATACTTTAAAAAATCCTTCTGGAAGCTTCAGAACAGCAACCAATGTTTCACTAAGAGATTTAGCTTCTTTAGGGCAATGCTAAAATCTTGGTCTCTTATAGAAAAAAGTAAAAGAGAGACGGTTGGAGGTTCTTTTAAATTCTCTCTACCAGCTTCAACTTTGTCTGGATTATCCTAACCAAGCCGACCATGGCTCGGTTAGGTGCAGCCCCAGGTTATCTAACCCAGGGCTGCACAACTCAAAAATGACGCGAGCCAAAAAAAAGTTCATTGGGAACTACGCAGGTTTTTAATAACTGGCACACAGGTTTTCAATATATGGCATCATTGCACTGGTTGCCGTCTTGAGCATATCTTGCAGTGTCATGTCCGTGGACCACACAGAAAGTGCCCGTGAGCCGGACGCGGCCCGCAGGCCGCATGTTGTGCATCCCTGGCTTAACCTATGCCCACCTGCCTTGCATTATCCTAACATACTCATACCTCACCTAACGTCACTTGGCTCGACTGAACTAAGGTGAATTAAACACGACCTGGTAAATAAGAGGAGCAAGGGCATGGCCACGGCGGTGGTGGCACCGCCAACCAGAGCTGCCTTTACCACTGGTGGCCGAAGTGGGAATAAAATGTAATTCAAACATTCAGTTATTAAGATCCATTTCCAAAACAAGCAAATGCGACACCAGATGGCAGAAAACCACAAAGAAGGACTGACTCGGCAGACAGGTTAACAGGGACACGGTGCATTTATTTACTGTATAATTGCATGCAGGGGCCGCACCCTCCCATATTTAAAGCATAATATTTCAAAAATGGCTAAGAAAACTATTCATGTATTATTCCCCTTCCCTTCCTCCTTCCTTCCTCCCCCCCCCCCCCCCCCCCCCCCCTCCTTTTTTTCGAGGCACACTGACTGCTTCCACAGTGCAGAGTGCACTCCGTATCTCCGTCATCTTTACTCTTCCATGTATACGCATCTGCTCACACTTTTTGTCATGTTTTGAAAAGCAGATAAGAAAGATTACGGCAGTAAAGCTTTGGAGAACTGGCCTTTTTATGCTTTTCGTATCATTCACGGTGACCTTCCGCCCACGTGCTGTGAAACCGGGACACTTCTGCCAACGTGCTGCTGTGAAATTGAACACTCGGATTTCCGAATGCAGCTGTAAGGCCAGTTTGGCTTCGTGTAAATTTTCTTCTGCTAAATTGGTCTATGGTGACCCCATAACCTAAGAGCAGCGGGAAAGCACTTTTGAACTGTCACTTATGCCTTGGAGTGCAGCGGACATGCAGCAGGTGGCAAATACGGTGTCGAAAAGATCTGCATATGGTGCTGGACAAAGCATGTGATTCAAGGTGGGCTCATTGGCACGCCGCAGCCACTTGATGTCGACATCGAAACGGACGTCGGGGTAAAATTATACAAAATAAATGGTGAATGCGACCCCCAAAAAGGTGCTCACCGGACGACTCAAAGGATCAACTCTGACAACCGTCAACGCCAGTCAGACACGAGCACCGCGGATACCGCACGTTACGATGGTTGAGACCGAAATAAAAGTCCGGCAACGTTAAAGCGGGGTAACTGACTGGGGCCTGCATCCCATGCTCACTGTTACGGCAACGGGATTATTCCTGGCTTGTGGTTGGTCAGAAGATGAGTCCGTAAACACGTCCGACCCGCATTGGGGAAATGGCATTCTCTCACCGCGGACTCCACTGAATGGTTAAACACACTCAATCTTTAATTATATCTATTTAATCGTACTGCAGCTCTCCACTGGGAGCTATAAAAAAAATAAAACACTAAGATATAAAAAATGAAAACACACAAAAAGCAATTTAACAAAATTTTTCAGTAAAGTGTTGAGTTGAAGAAAGCTTTACTACAGTGGAGTCTCACTAATTCAAACTCTCTTAACCCCTTAAGTGCCAGTTTTTTTTTTTCTTAAAGGGGCACTGACACATCAAAATCATATTTTTTTTTATTATCCGAAACGATTGAAAACGATGCCGGGACATTACCCTCAAAATTTGAAATTTGGGAATTCAGTATTTGTGAAGTAAAAAAACAATTTCCAAATGCCGAATTCGAAGTTCCCGCGCGATCGGCGCCGGTGCCTTGACGTCAAAAATCGCGGAGACCTGAGAGTCGACTTTCTTTCACCACTCCCTGCTGTTGCCATGGCGACCCAAAGCGAGGAGGAAAGGAGTGAGCGGCGGCGTTGGGGCGGACCGGTTTTGAGCGGTGTCGCCTGTTTTCCGTTGGAGGATACAAATCCAGGAGACGGCACCACAACGAACTCCCTATTTTTGGTATTTCAAAAAGAAGGGCCGTAGTGCGTTCGCAATTGCGTTAAAAAACATGTTTTACGATTGCCGTTATTAAATGTTATAGAGATGTCGCCTACAAAGCTTCTAAATTTCCTGATTTTTGACGTCACCGATCAAAAGAAGCGAGGAGGCGAGAGGCGGGAAAATCAAACGGCAAAAATAAAAAGGCGCGCGCGCGCGCAAAAAATTTTTTTTTCGCGATGCGTTTTTTTTTGCGTGTCTATGACTGCAACTTCCATCGTTTTAGACCATAAAAATAAATACGACCTTTGGGGTGTCAGTGCCCCTTTAAAGTAACCCAAAAGTGCCATATTTTTTTATTTCGAAGTTTTATTCCTCCAGTATTACAGATAAAATTTCAAAAGTTTATTATGCAAAAATCAGCAGCGGCGGAAAAAAAAAAAAAATGTGTTGCCGTATTTATTTGAATTAAGGCGAGGCTTTTTTCCAAAACCAGTAGTCTCAAAGTCATACCCCGCCTTATATTCGAAGCTCAGTATAGCAATATGGCGATTTTTTTTCTTTTTCTTGGGTCCTTCAACTGCCCCCTCGCCTTATAATCGTGACCGCCTTATATTCGAATAAATACGGTAACTAAAACAAGTGCTGCCATCCATGATCAGCACCGCAAGACTACTCGGACGGGCCTAGCTTGTCCGTAGAATTGAGAGCTACCGAAAAAACCACTGGACGAGCTGAGCTTGTCCATGGCATTTTTAACCAGAAAGCGGCCGACAAGCTCAGCTCGTCCAAGGCACTTAAAGGGTTAATTCAAACTCGCGGATAATTCAAACCAACATGCAGGTTCTATCCTATGTGTTTCCAGGAAGGAAACTCCCAGTAATTCAAACTTTGCATTATTCAGACAAAGTTCTGGACCCCTCGGGTTCAAGTTAACGAAATTCCACTGTATATACAATTTTAAAGCGAATCCCAATCTTGCATTGCCCGAGGAAAATATAAATATTTGAAAGCACTGCATTTGAATTTGTATTGCTTTGTTGCAGGAGTCCGCCAACTCACCAGAGGGAAGTCACACTTTTTGGCGGACGTCACCTTGTGGTGGTGAAGCAGCTTGTTGGTGTCGGGGTTGATTGCGACGGCACACTCATCCTCAAGGCACCGGCTTCTGTGCCGTGGAAACGCCTTCCGGTACACGAGCGTCATCAGGGCACCCTTATCCTTGGCCACTGTATTCCTGCACCGTGCTCTAGAGTTAGCCCCAAGTCGTTTCGTTCCAAAGGAATCGTGAAACAACCGTAAAACGTAAGGTTTCATGTGCCGAAAAAACAAACAAAGTAGATAAGACACGAGCGTTTAGGCAGCGTGAAGTCCGTCTGCCTTCGAGGCATGGCAACGCTGGTTCATGCTATAAAGAAACACTATGGACACGCCGCCTCGGGGCCAAGTAGTACACGGCAGGGCTGGACACTACGTGTCAGCTAGATGGCTGGCACAAACAAATGGCACTTTGTGTCGTGATGGAGTGCTGCGAGCTGAGGCCACAAGTGCCCCCTGATGTGACTTACTACGCCTTTGCACTGGAACGAAGAGATTTGAAGCGTGTGTGAGAGGAACCACGACGTGCATTGAGGATGCGTCAACCATGCCAACGACTGGTGGATGGCGCGATACTGGTGACGCTACCAGTGCCCTCAAGGCAGTGGACGTCACGAAACATAGATTAGAGGACTGGTGGGGAAAAACTGTGAAGAGGTTAGGGGTACCACGGCGATCGTGTTTAGACTTCTCATACTTTTCTTGTCTTTTTTTGGGGGCTAGATTCTATTCTTTTTTTTCACAGTGATCACCGCCTGATGTGAAGTGTTAAACCCTCATATCCAATCCAATTAAAAAAAAAAAAAGAATTTAGTCAGTGCAGTTTGATTGCTGACGTGATTACACAACCAATTCTGACCATCCAGACTGTGACAAGCAAGGGCTGGAATTGAGCCCAGGAATCCTGGATCCTGCGGTGCAAGGTTTTGCTCACACTGCCGATATTGGAACTCGACATACAGTAGTAACCTGTAAAGATTAAACTAGTCTTTTAACATAATCGGTGGGATTAAGTCCGAAGGAAACTGCATGTTTGGAGCAGTTTATGGCAAGCTTTTTTAAACTAATTTTGAAAACTTCATAAAAGATTTAACCTTCAATAGTACACTAGTCATGGTCCAATATATTGACTGCCATTTCTCGCACTACATGGCAAGAACTACACCAACCGCAACGACTGCGGCCACACCCCGTGACATGGCTCAGTGAACCAAAGAGCCAAGGGCCTTGCCTGTGTTCTTCCAGGATTGGTCGAAGAGGGGTGTTCGAAACAACACCGCCATCCAAGAGCACAAAATCAGATCGGATCAGGCCCTTGGAGTCCAGGTCCCGGATCATGTCCCCGACGGAGAGATAGGTCTCAGATGAGATGACGCTGACTGACATCCGACTGTTGGGCAGCGCCCATTTGGAGTTTCTGCGAATGATGAGGATGCACAGGCAGTTTATGTGAACACTGAATATATGGGGAGACGGCTATAGAAAATAACCGACAGATAGACTCAGAATAAAAATCCGAAATCTACAATCCATCAATACACGTGACACAAAATAGAACTGCCACACTTGAACCATGGCTGCTCCGTGCTGCCAACACCCCGCTGAAGGCACTCGTCGTAATAACATGGGAGAGCCAGTGCTGCGATCAAAATCTGGAGAAAAGATTTCTGCGGCATCGTGCATCTACGTTGTTTCGGGGATTACCTGCCAGATGGCGCTAACAAGACGGAGCAGGCACCGCTCCCGCGTAACAGCTGAAGAAGTCGACCGTAATGCCTTTGTTATTAGGAGAAAGTTCAATGGCAGCATAAAAGGGTACTCCGGCGACTTTTTGAGCTACCCCAACTAACTATAATTTCAAAATCACCGGCCTTTACCCTTTCCGGTATACTATTTAGTATTTAGTATCGAGAAATTCAGAATCGGCAAATGAAAATGATGTCAAAACCAACATTCAAATATACCCATGCTTTTCAGTGCCATGACGTCAGTGGCAGACAGGCTTGCTGGTCGAGCAGGCAGTCTAAAAGATGGACTGTGCTGAGCATTTGTTTCGTGCTGCTACGCGGGTGCTGGAGCGGGCTTCTGAAGCATTGATTTAACACCATAAAACTGCTTGGAATCAGTTGGGAACAAATCCTACAGTCCAAAGAGAAAGCCCCTGCCTGCCACTAGCCGCTTTGCTTTAAAAACATGGTGAGGATCAAAATTGTAAATTCAGTAACTTAGCGAAAGAAAAAAGGTTTTGGCCTAATATTTGGGATATTATTTCAGTGATGTTTGTCGGTGTGTTTACGAAATTTTCAGACAAATTGGGGAGCATGAAGAAAACAAATGGAGTACCCTTGTAATTGTTGCACGATGCCCAAACCTTGATGCACAACAGATTATCAAAACCGAGCAAAGTTGAAAGGTTTGTGTACCCATACATTAAACCCATAAATGCATAACAAGAGACACAAAATACTGGTTTGCATTTGAATCCGAAATCGAGCAGAACTTTCCACCTGATGTGGTCTCTGATCTTTTCGGCGTGGGAGCAGCAAAACAGGAATGTCTCCTGAATGCCGTTGGTGCTCAGGTATTCCAGGGTGTAATCGATGAGGGGCCGGTTCAGCAGAGGCAACAGCACCTGCAATTCAGGCCCGCCAAAATCCTGGATGTTTTACAGCACGTACGGAACGACAAAACTGACTACCTTTTGATTTGAGTAAAATTATAGTTCAAGTCTCCTGGCAAGGTTTCCCAGACAATGTTCTTCAAAATCGCCTGTTTTGGACATTTTTATAAATGTATACTTCGGGTCCTCATATTTTTCAAACTCTTTACTGAACCGCATTCCCAACATCACCTCGTGAAGCATCGTCAAATGAACAATCACGAATGTAATGCAGTTCAGGCTACACACCGTCTAAGGATTCGAAGTTCGAATACCTCCAAAATCAAGCACTTTTCAGCAAGCAGGCAGTACGTTTCGAACCCAGCTGAGGTGGGAATGAGACCCGACATATGTGACAAGCGGACGGCACATGGGTGACGACTGTTGCCGATGAACGAGCGAAAACATAAACGTCGTGAACGTTACCCATGGATGATCCTTAGTTATCGGGGCAAACTTGTCGTTAAAGTTGTCCGCTGTTACGACCGCTTGGAGTATTTCTTCCTGTAGTAATGCGCCCTTGCTGGACTTTTTCGGGCTGGAGGACACCATTTTTCCGATGCTACCAATGCCGATACGATTGACGACAATCTAAATGCGTTCGACCGGTTTCGGTTTCGTTTCTTAGTTTTACAGTTTGGAAAAAGAAAGAAAACGAAACAATATTAAAAACAAATGCATTTTTGTACTTTTTTTATTAGCTTAATTTCTTAACTCAAAAGCGAAATGAAATTTATTTGGTTGTGACCATAGAGTTACTATACGTGACGCGCTGGGTGGATAAAAGCAAATGGCTCTACCCTTTATGATGTGCGGTAGCTTGCGCCACCTAGCCAGAAACTAAAAAGTATTTTTCCTTCCCTCGTTTTTTTAAAGTTTAAACTATCACCAGGCAGTGTGGGATATCTCCAGTAAAACTTTTGGGAGATCGGGCAAAAACACTACCCCCCCCCCCCCCCCCCGCCCCCTAGGCCAAGCCTCCACATCATCAAGTATTTAAGATAAGTTACTACATACCTGCTTCACTGCAGAGTATCTTGAGAAATACAAATACCCAGAAATAATATTAAACTAATTTTGGAGGCACATCCGCGTTGCGTAATATGCATCGACTTCAGTGACACTTGCTAGAGTGCTTTATTTGCAAGCAAGGAAAAAAAATCTGTGCTATTTTATGCAACCTATTATCAGTGCTATTTTATTCAACCTTAGTACAAGAAGTAGCGTCACTGCTGCATGTTACAAGATGTCATTTTTAAGGCAAACGAGTGAAGAAGAGGTCACTGAAAATCGCATCTTCTGATTATTTTATTTTAGTTTTATAATGGACGACTGTATGCATCGTTTATTAAATGTCGCAACCGGCTAACGCATAAGAATGTCTGAACAACAAGAAGAGCATTGATGTACCAAGAGCGTGTTAGTGCGGGTCAAGATGGAAGAAAAAAAGCTCGAGGTACACCTAAGCATTTCTTGTGAGTTGTGAATGTGAAAGCATGCAAGCCGCTCGTCCGCTCCCTTTGACGTCTGCTCGACCGCTTCCTTTGTCGTCTGCTAAGTGCTACGTAGTACGTACTAGCGCTCGCGCGCTTCGGGATCTCGGAGGCCATGGCGCAGCGGCCAATGGGAGCTCCGTCGACGCGCGCCAGCCAATGGAACCGAAGGCGAAATCGCGGAAACTAGGAGCCGTTTTCGCGCTTCAAACTGATGACGTCAGCTCGCTACATGAGACAGTTAATGCTTTCGCATTAAAACTTTCAGCCTTTCCACTCTGGTAAAGAAGGAAGAGCAGCGGAGCTGTAGGTCCAGTTCTCGGCGGTGGCTTTCCAGGCGAGCGATCTGCTCTTCTTTCACAAGGAATTCTGAAGCGCTCGACGCAGTGTAACTTTAGGCGATAGCGGCCTCGTGGCGGTTGCAAAGCCATTCGTGCTGCTGCGCACATCGCCGCTCGTTTCGTTCCCGCGGCTCTTCTTCCTCCGAAAAAATTCTGCCGTGATCTATGAGCGATGGCGGAAAGCAGACAACAGGCAAACACAACACTTTGGACAGCTGTCGCCATCTATGAGCGACGGCGGCAACCAGAGTGTTGTGTCAGCCATGGCTGTCGACATTTGTTTGGTACCGGACACGATCCTGGGGAAACTAGCGCTTAACAGCTCCGCTGCAAAAATAAAATGTAAGGCAAAGACGACACAGCCACATATTTCAACTAGCAATGTACACATAGGAATTCCAAAAGCGAGCAACCGATTAAACGTAGGGAAATCGAGGAAAGGGGAAGTAACTAAGGAGAGAGGAAGGAGGGAAGAGGCGATAAGATAAAATGCAAAGTCAGATCGATTGAGTAATCTCTGATTTGAGAAATACAACTTTAGTCTTCGTCAGAACCGGTGAGGGCTTAGAAACGCTGTTTTTTGCGTTGTTCATGGCGAATGGCTATTCTGTCGAAATACGAAAATAATCCCTGGAGAAGGGAAACAAGAGGGACAAAGCACAAACACAAATCTCCGAACACGGCTAGGTGACTGGTGCGCGACCGAAAAAATCCGCCTAATCCGGGTATCGAACCCCGGAACCTCTCTATTACAGGTGGAGCGCTCTACCAACTGAGCTAACCAGGGGTTAGACGTCAGTAGAGCAAACGGGTTTTATCAGCCGTTACCAGTCTAACACCAACAAGTTCCCCTTCTCCAGGGATTATTTTCGTCATTCTTGTCCAGTTCGCTTGTACCTTTGCATTTAATTGCATTATAATCGACTATTATGTCCCGGCCATATCTGCTAATATGCCCCACCCTCCATCTAGAGACACGTGCCTCGCGCCACTTCTGGGAAGAACATGGCGTCTGATATCTAGCTCAGTACTGCGTTGTGCCACCATGATCTTTCCAAGGGCTGCACGTTGCACGCGCCTCTCGCATCGACGCACCTTGCGCTATTTTTAAAACATGAAGGGGCTTTACATCTTGGGCCCCCGGACAGAGGGCGACCACCTGTAGCGCGGACGTGACGGGCGTTTCACGTTTCTCCGTCTTGCATTTGAAAGTCCACATGAGCAGTTCGCATTCGAGTTCAGGAACTGAAACCAGGCGGGAATAGAGCTCCAAAAACTCTTCAGCACCGGGAGCTGTCCCGCTTTTCAAGATCTTTGCAGGCAGAAGCGACGAAAGTAATTGCAACGTACGCCGGTGCATTTTAAATCTCCCATCTGACTGTGTGGTTAAGTAATCCATGACAGGGAAGAACACGGAGCGCTTAGGATGCTCTTCCGTGCTTCTAGCGGGAATGTTACAGCGGTGATGTTGCTGACTAGAGTGCCTTCATACACACGCGCGCTTTTGCTTGAGTGGTGACATCTCAGCCATTTTTCCGCCCAATTCTCTTTTTATGCATTTTGAAGTGCGCGCAATCCGGTGTCACTCAGCTCGAGCGCGTAGCTTTGGCTAATGCATGGACGCCATTTTACCACCCATGTCACGCACCGAGTGCGCGAGAGCATCACGTGCTGGCACATTCAGTACAACAATGGATGTCTTCACCCTGAGACAGACAGACATGTAGGCACCCTATTGCTGACTTGTTACTCGCGGCATCTGGGCCCGTTTGCTCGAAGCGCTAACCGCGGCTAAAGTTAGCCGCAGTACCTAGGAGAGGGATTTTGAGATCACGTGACTGGCTCGGTAGGGATGCGGGGAACCATGGGGGTGCCCCAGTGAGTGAGCGCCCGTCGCTTTGGAACTAATATGTCGTTGTGGTTGCAATATCGGGCGCGTTAGTCAGCAACGAATAATGCAGGAGGCTTTCGCTTTGCCTTACCTCACTTAAACCGCAAAGCATGCGCAATGACATCGCCGCATTTTTTAGATAGTGTTTCGATTCTGGGCACTCCTAAGCCTAAATGAACGCGATAATTGTCGGCCTGGCAACGTCTTTGGAAAGCGGATTGCTGATAGCACACAAAAGCAGACAGCGTCCCGACAGATTTTTTTCTAAATTATCCAAGCATCGCGAGGAGAACGCTGGAAGTGTAATTCTACGGTTCACGCGCGCTGGCCATCCTCTTATAAAAGATTTGAAGTAAAAAATCATAATAAGGCTTTAACGAACGCGCGTGCAAGGCAAAATTTTTTTAATACTTTTTGCTTTAGAACGGTTACTGCTGCAGGCGCCAGCACGTGCGACGCGTGCAACTACAGTCGTAGCATGCACCTCGGTGCTTGGATAATTTAGAAAAAAGGCCTGTTGGGACGCCGTCTGCTTTTGTGTGCTATCAACAATCCGCCTTCCAAAGACGTTGCTATGCCGACAATTACCGCGTTCATTTAGGCTTAGGAGTGCCCAGAATCGAAACACTATCTAAAAAATGCGGCGATGTCATTGCCCATGCTTTGCGGTTTAAATGAGGTAAGGCAAAGTGAAAGCCTCCTGCACCATTCGTTGTTGACTAACGCGCCCGATATTGCAACCACAACGACATATTAGTTCCAAAGCGAGCGGCGCTCACTCACTGGGGCACCGCCATGTTTCCCCGCATCCCTACCGAGCCAGTCACGTGATCTCAAAATCCCTCTCCTAGGTACTGCGGCTAAAAAAAAAATTGGGTTGTCTGTGTGTTTATACAGCCTAGAACTTCGTCTGCCTCACAGGGGCGACGAGTCTCCTAGCTGTAGATGAGAAATTTAGCCAGTGCGGTACAGCCGCTAGCCCGGGGGTCTTTAACGTGCACCACGCAGTAGTGATACACGACCGCACGCCGGTACGATGCTCATCCAGATCGAAACGGGCAGGGGTGGGGCTCGAACCCAGGATCCCTGGGTTCTGCAGCGCGAGCTTTCGCTCCACGTGCTCCGAGCTGGTGTGCGCTAGACCACTCGGCCACCGATCCCCCTTAATGCGGCTAACTTTAGCCGCGGTTAGTGCTTCGAGCAAACGGGCCCTGAATTTCAACCACCGTTGTCTCGGCCATTTTAATGGCGGCTTGGAATAGTGTTTGTGGGTAGGCGTTTGCTCTGATTTTTCAGCGTCGAATTTTTTTTTCTCTTGCTGTTTAATGTTTTGTCACAGTATAGCTATCCTTTTGTTTTGTCTGGCTGGAACGCGTTGGTAACGCAGTGCTACCTCAAAAAGCGGAGGGAGTTGTGTGCTTTGAGGAAGCTTTTAAAGTTGGTGGGCTGCATAATGAGAGCTGCGGACGTACTTGAAAGTGACACGGAGTATAAACAAGCAATACAGCGAGTTTATTTTTGTTTGTTTCGTTGTTTGTGGTTTGTATCGGACTCGAGGTGTTTGGTTCCTAGTTTAGACTTTGTATTTTCCCCTTCTTATTGAACGCGGCGATTCCTCTCGTGGCTATTGTTTTCGCTCCACTTCTTCGGCTGCTCGAGCCCTCAGGCAGCATAATTCAATCTATTTCAGTCACGAATATGTTCGATTTGCGAGTCCATTTGCCGACATTCTGCAACGAAAATGATAGTATGATGCTACCGTGAAAATTCGTGGTTCGCTCAGCTCGCGATGTATCTTTCGAATTGGGATAATTTTTTGCTTTGTTTTAGAGCGCAGCTCTTAGGGGCCCGTTCCCGGCTTG